ATTACCTTCTTACAGAGTCTGATTATAAGTGTGAAATTAAATGGTTGACCCTATCACTGGTCATATAATTGTCTCAGAGATTAAGCCACATATTATACAAGTACGTACCTTGAAACGATGAAACCGTTAATGTCTGATTGAATAGCTATTGTTCCTTGGATCGTAAACACTACAAGGATAACAGCATTCATTCTAGAGTTGATACATGTCTTGAATACTTGATTTGCAAGGATGAAGGTAGATTTTTTAAGTCAAAACCAACCAGATGCAGCTTCGAGTGTGCTTTGTCAAGAAAATACTGAGTCTTAAGTACTGAGTTTCATGATTAGCAAGCATCATATATATAATGAATATATAATGCAATATTCACGCTGGCTTACGTAACGTACGTAATGTTGTAGTAATACTGACTTTTGAAATATACTTTTCAAACATCACTTACTGACACAACGGGATAATTTAAATATTTTATGTTTCCCAAGTTATACCACTGTTGTACAACTATGCTACTGATGACCGACTTTATGCTACCAACAGACTGGATATTCGATTGATACGCTATGCGCGGAATGGATCACGTTATATCAGATACAAAATTCATAACCAAACACATGGAGCCAAAGTATAGCCTATATACTATGTTATTCAATACGGTTATAAGCAACCCATATTCAATGAAGTACAGCAGTTGCATATTAAATAGTTTGTATCTGACAGTCCACTTTCAATGAAAACTAGATCAAACAATAAGCAAGTTTAGTCTTCAAAAGAATGAAAGTTAGTTGCTCTATTACCAGTGGGATTGACACTGCGTATTGGTATCAAGTAGCTTACAAATAAAGAAACAACTTTTCTGTGATCCCTGATTTACAATAGTACTTCAAAAGAAGTTAATCTGCCCCCAACTGTCCCGGTACGGTCAACAGAGGGAGAGTTCGCTCTCTCTCTCTAACTCTCGAAATGCTCTCACATGGCCACATGCATACAACCACTACCACAGAAGTCCTACTTACTGCCTTCTCGCATCACGAGTGTTGTTTATGAAATTGAGAGCAACAAAAGCAAACATCCGGAGCTTTGACCGCGTTGGTAGATATGGAGGATCCACCTCGGGGAGTTGGGAAACCCTGGTTTCAAACCAATGGTACACATGGACTCCAGTATCCTGAAGGAACAAATGTTGTATGGACCCGTTGTTGATCACCGGCTGCCATGGGGCTGCATCTCCTGACGTTGCTCCACTGCCTTGTGGATCAGACCTTTAGGTTGAAGGCTCGAGAAGCCGCCTGCTTCGGTTTCGGCACCCGGGTAGTGGATATTAACTTCGACTAGGAATTCGATTAATGTGGTAGTGTCACTAGTCAGTTTGGCGAAAATGGTTTCTCGTTTATTTAAAAAAATATATTTTTTAAATATCATATCTAGTGACCAGTGGAGTTCAACCGGATCTCTTGTGAGATAGTAATTTACTTAAGACAAAGATAGATGTGTCGCTCAATTTCGTGGCTTAGTTGAAGTTAGACATTAACACTGTTAGATGCCGGCCCGCTCAGTGGTCTAGATGTTAAGCGCTCGAGCGTGGGACCGATAGGGCCTGAGTTCGAATCTCTCGGAGTAGATCGTGGATGCGCACTGCCGAGGAGTCTCACAATAGGACGAAACAGCCTTCCAGTTCATCCAGCTTTTCCATGCTGGTCTAGTTTCAATTAACTCATGAACTCAACTATTATTATCCTTTTTTATTCGAAAGGATAAATCACATTTTATATGATTTATTTACAGTTAGATTAACACATAGAATTGGATAAAGTGAACTGATTTGTGGAGATTGTAATCTTTTTTTCAACAGCTAAATTCACGAGTCGATTCAAGGTAGACTACCATTGAAAACCTAGAAGTCAAGCATTCGCGCATGAGACTGGAGTTCACGGGTTAGAATCCCGCATGAAAGATCGTAGGTGTGTACTGCTGTCGAGTTGCATACTAGGACGAAACGACCATTCATTGCTTCCAGGTTTCAATAGTGACAAATCCCTTAAATTAGTACCCAATCGGCATCTTGTTAAACAGGATTTTATAAGTACAAAGAAATGAAAAAAGAGTATTCGTTGGTCTCCGACTTAGTAATTTGTGACATCTCATTACTAAGCCATAAAAAATACAAATGGTCTTAAAATTTAGTACATCCATCTGGCGAGTCCCAAATAGGACGAAACGCATGTCCTGGACACCACTACTAGCCACCATCCATCTTTGCTTATAATACTGGTGAATTATTGTTTGGAGTTATTGCCTTGAGAAATATTTAGTTTACTTCATATTTTGACAAACATTTTTTGAAGCTTTTAGCAGATGAATGTAAACTCATAGCTGCTTAAATTCATTAAGTTTTGTTTACTTGAATCTTCCCATTGATATTTAGGATTGCAATTGACCAGTCTCTTGTTGGCCTATGTGTATCCTCTGTGGACTGCCCCGATATTGCCGTACGGTACATCCATTATAATCAAAGGTGGATAGTGGTTAGCAGTGGAATCCAGTTTGACGAGCATTTCATCATATTTGCTACTCGTCAGCTAGATGTATCTGCATCTCAGAGTTTATGTTCAATGTGAGACTCGAATTCAGTTCCGTTTCTTTCAAACGTCATCGCGTTATCCATTTATATACTGAGTCCTGATAGTCAATTGCTTGTGCAATGAGGTGAAGTATAAATATACCTGTTATTATTTACTTGAATCTTCCCAATGATGTTTAGAACTGCAATTGATCAGTCTCCTGTTGGCAAATGTGTATCCTGTGTGGACTACCTCGATATTGCCTTAGGCCACAAGCATTATAAGCAAATACAGACAGTGGCTAGCAGTGAAATATAGGATGAGCGTTTCGTCCTTCAGATGGATGTACCCGCATCTCAGAGTTAATGGTTACCCCAGGACTCGAACCCAGTACCATCGAAAATACTAGATATGTGATGGAAATTTATGTTGGGTACTGTTGAATTGTTATGTATTTTGTTGTTGTTGTTGTTGTTGTTGTTGTTAGTTTACCTAATTGTGTTATCATATAAAATTTCCGTAATGTAAACGTATATTACTGACAAAATGTAACGCTAAAAAATATTGCACGTCATAGTTTTATTTATTTATGATAGTTTGATCAATTTCTTAAACAGCCAAATGGATAACGCGATGGCATTTGATGCGGACGGTCCTGTGTTCGAGTCCCGGAGTGAGTATCAACTTTGAGATGCAGGTACATTTAACTGATGAGTCCCAAATAAGATGAAATGCGCAACCTGGATTCCACTACTAGTCACTATACATCGTGGCTCACAGTTACTTAGTTTTAAGTGTATAATCTAATGTTGATCAATATTTTCAAGTGTATTCACTGGAAGAGAAATATTTATTTCTTTTTATTTTGCAAATATTTACTTAGGAAAATTTATTTTACTGAAGATAATAGATAGGAATTCTTGAGAACAAGTTTATGACTATTTAAAATACGTCAGTAATACATATCTTTGTCAATATAGGAACTGGTACTTCATTCCTTATCGCTAGAATGCCATCGGCACGATGTGAGTACATTATCACAGTATTAAATATTATTGACTATTCACAATTGATTGATCACTGGGTGGTGATCAATCTGATTCTTGTCTAGTCCTTATTAGTGCAGATCGAATGCTATCGATCATGTTGCTGTGGCCACCAGTCTAGGTGACTTGACACTGCGGGCACTATGTATTGAGATTAGATGGTGGTTGGAGGTTGTCAACAGGAAACCCTCGACCCGGGTTTCGTGCTACTTGGCACTCGTCAGCAAGGTGTACCTGTAATCTTGAGGGAACTGGTGCTCCCTGGCGGATTCGATCTCGTGTCACCCAGCTTCACAATCAGAGACGTTACCACTGAGCTATCCGAGCCGTGACTAACCTCCTGTAGGACTGAGATTGACTATTCTATTGAGTCACTGTTATATCTGGAATATTGGTCGATAAATTCATCAATCAGAAATGCTGATTGAAATCTCTCTGTTATTTCTTTTCTAGAATATCATTTTAAGTGTTAACTATTGACATATTTCAAACGATGCAGTTGCTTTTGAGATAAGATTAACTTAACTCTCGTTGGTCCATCGATATTCAGATTCGTATTATCACGTTTTCGGCTACTCAATCTAGCTAACCATCACATTGTAACACTGAATCTATTCATGATATATTAGGCTACATCTTACCATAAAGTAGAAAATCGTATTATTTATGCACAAATGGTGAAATAGTAACTTACTGATGACTATGATGGATTTGTCACTCAATTTCGTGGATTAGTTGAAGTTAGACATTAGCATCGTTAGATTCCGGCACAGTAAACTAATGACTAAATGCTCGCGAACGAGACTGATAGGTCTTGTGTTTGAATCTCTCGAGGCGCGATCAAGGATGCTCAGTGCCACTGAAGAGTCTCACAATAGGACGAAACAGCGTTCCAGTTCATCCAGGTTTCCCATGCTGGTCTAGCTTTAATTGACTCATGCTCTCAACTATTGTAATTCCTATAATATCCACAAAAACCCCTTCATATATATATATATATATATATACCTTGGATTATCCAATTTTAAAACTTGGTCATAAGATAGGTGAAGAAAGGTAGTATTACATAGTTATGTATTGTTATGACAGTTGTTACTAATCCAAAAAAACTTGTTTGCTCTCTACTAATCAAGTATACAGACACTAAACACACACATACACACACAGAGACATACAATAAGAATGATAATGACGTAAATGGTAGGTGGATCATTTTACAATTATTTTCAATTGATTTCAATCTTAGATCATTTTATATTCATTCTTTTTTCCTTATTTTTTTCCTTTTTCTTACAAATAACATAGCAACACATATATCATTTCATTCTCCTTTTTTTCCGTTTTGATTATAACGTTTTATCACATTGTTTTTACAATTTTCAATTGTGATTACAAATCATTCAATCATCATCATCATCATCGCCATCGTCATCGCCAACATCATCATCAACATCATCATCATCATCATCATCATCATCAACATCATCATCATCAACATCATCATCATCATCATCAACATCATCATCATCCAAATCATCATCATCATCATCATCATCATCATCATCATCATCATCATCATCATCATCATCATCATCATCATCATCATCATCATCATCATCATCATCATCATCATCATCATCCAAATCATTATCACCCAAATCATGATCATCCAAATCATCATCATCAACATCATCATTATTTCACTTAGTATTGCTTTACTCGAATCTTCCCATCCACTTGTCGAGTCCCAAAATGGGACGAAACACGCATACTAGATTCCATTGCTAGGCACTATCCATCTATGCTTATCATCATTATTGTTTTGTTCCTATTTTAATTGATTTTCTATTAAAAGTCAATCATTATAGTCGTGTGAATGAATTTGAAATAGATGGATAAACAAACGCCCACGTAGCCGAGCGTGCACACGCGCACACACACGTACGCACACACACACAAGTGCGATCAAGCAAGTTGGCAACTATGCGTGTAAAACAAAACAAACAAAAAACGGATTGATTGAAATTTGAATGCGTTTTATCCTTCTTGTTCAAATGTCAATGTAGCTGGGGAAAAAAACGTTTTCAAAAGATGAATTGTCTATAGAAGTATATGGTAGGTAAATTTTTGTCATAAATCATTATTTAATTGTAATTTTATGTTACATAATCATCAAAGTAACAATAACAACAACAACTTGTTGTCTATTGTTTATAAGAAGAGAAGTTTTTGATTAATTAGGTAACAGTTAAGTAAACTAATTGTCATAATTATAATAAAAATAGTGAATAAGAACACTAAATGTAGTTGAACACGAAATGATAGATTGTCTTTGGTAGATTCTGAGAACTATACAACAATGAATAATTCATTTGTAACATGTCAATCAATGTCTCTTTGTTTCTACATCAATCATTCTTTGTTCTCACTCTGTTCTCTTCAATCTTTCTAAACTTCTACAGATAGATATATCATTTTCAATTGATGATATATACTACTTATATCTGTTGATATCAGTAGTACATACCATGATATCAGTAGCCATACTAAGGACTGAATTTCAATCATAATATTTGTTTCATTAGAAAAGTTGGAGAATAGGTAACTTAGTAGTAAAGATACTAGGTTCGAGTCCTGTAGTGAGTATTGATTCTGAGATGCAGGCACATCTAGTTGACGGATACAAAAGAGGCCGAAATGGGTGTCTTCAATTTCACTGCTTGCCAATATTTATACTTATATTTATGAAATACATGTGGGACAATTGTAATGAACGAGAACACAAGTGGGGACAATCAAATATACTTGAACACATTGCGAAATGTAAATCAATCGTCTAAGACTTCATTGTTCTTTCAATTCCATACCAATCATTCTCTGTTCTCGTTCTCTTCTTTTCGATATTCTTAACCTTCTGCCACCAAACATTTCACTTTCGATTGATGATACACATACTACTTATATCTGTCGGCATCAGTAGCATACATCACAATGAAATCACATAAACTTAACATGAATTTTGAACAATTTGTTGTGACTATAATTTGTGAACGACCTTTGAGTGATGCCGAAGTGACCTTGAAAATGTCCACCTATCAACTAGGGCAGTTTCAAGAATAAAAATTTGGATTTACAGTTGATGGTTGGGGTTAGTAATTAAATTTACGGTTTTTTATCAGCTATTTGGTTAAGTTCACGCCAAAATCCATGATTTATTATCATAAATCTGATTGGTTCGTCCATAAATTATATTCCCATCAACTTATGTATGATGTAATGCATGAAACTAACGATATCAATCAAAGTTTATGAATTATTTAAGTATAAAAATTTGGGATAAACAAGGTACTTTGTGAATGGGCCACATTTATAGCTCATCAGTTGTGTGTTATTAGCTTAGCGTTAATAGTCTGATTGATTAAAGAGATACAATAAAGGATGAAGCTATTGTATATATTGAACAATACACAAAGTGATCTTAAGATGTTTCACAGATTGAAATCATGAGTCAGATGAAGCTCGACCACCATTGAAACCTGGAAGCACTGGACGGCCGTTTCGTCCTAGTATGGGACTCCTCAGCAGTGCGCATCCACAAAACCCATTCTGATCTTAAGATTCTTATATCACATTCATGACCGATGATTATACAATCTGCTTCAATCAAACATCTGTATCATTAATAAGGAGATAGGTTGTGTGTTTATGAATTTGTAGCTCATTCACTTTTCAATGCTTGATTTGTGTGTAATATCTAACACGTTCATGTTCATTTGGTAAGTGAGTGAGTGAGTATTTCATTTAAGAGCATAACTTTCACTGAGAATTTCATTTCAAGTCCCAACTTCCATAGTTTTTTTGTTGTTTTTTCATTCAGCATTTTGAGAAGTGGTATAGTGTCCTGTTTCTGGAAGATATATATTTACAGTTTGACGTTTCGTCCTATTTGGGACTCTCGGTTTTGAATAGTGTTGAGGATGGATGGAAGAGAGTTAGAGGCGGCCAAACCAAAACGTGGTATCAATCCTTGAAGTCACTAACTTCCAGTCTGAGACATGTTGGTAGACTACCTGGTTGGGATCCGCATGACTCGTAACCAATGGTTGAAGACTCTGGTTGATATATGGCTCAGAATCGATCACAATGGCGTCAGTGTATACACTCTCTGTCATCCCTTAAACTATGAGATTGAAATTGCTTCATATCTTCCTTTCTACGAACTAATTCTTTATTCCTGTACTATATCCTTATTGCAATCTTTCTTTTATATATTACCACCTCTGAATTAACTACTTTTATGAATCCGGTGTCCATCTTGTTGTGCTAATGATGTGTGGCAACTCGGACCGATGCATATATGTGCCTGGTCCGACGTTGTAGCTGACTGACTGACTAACTTAGTCCCTGTTTTGACACGAAATTCATCCATCCATTTAGCGAAATAGCATCTGGGTATTATAGCTGATATCAGTTCATGATGAAGAGCCTTATTTTAATGCCAACTCTAACATCCAATTGTAAATCCTAATCCTCATTTCTCACAATCATTTAGAATCCACTTTTAATCCTAATAAGTAGGTGAATGTTCTGAAGGTCATTTTAACGTCCCTCAAAGGTTGCCCATAAATTGTTATCTCATTATAACTTGCCTACTGTGGAGAGAACAAACCAGCTTCCAATTGAACAGGAATTAACAAAAGACGATGGAAATTGATAGGACATACATTATGGAAAGCACCGAACTGCATCATAATGCAAGCTCTGACTTGGAATGCTGAAAGGAAGCGGAAAAGAGGAAGACTAAAGAACACATTACGTCGGGAAATAGAAGCAGGTACGAAAACTATGAATAAAAACTGGAAAGTATTGCTCACGACATTGTTGGATTGTGAGTGCTTGTGGGTGACCTATGCTCCTCTAGGAGGACTAACTGGCGTAAGTAAGTAAGTATAAACCGAAAATTTAAAATGACTTGCATTTTATTCATTTTACTTACTTACTTACTTACTTACTTACTTACTTACTTACTTACTTACTTACTTACTTACTTACTTACTTACTTACTTACTTACTTACTTACTTACTTACTTACTTACTTACTTACTTACTTACGCCTGTTACTCCTAATGGAGCATAGGCCGTCGAGAAGCACTCTGCGACCCACTCTGTCCAAAGCCTTCCTTTCAAGTTCTATGCAATTGTTGTTCATTTATTTCATATCTGTCTCCATTTCTTAGCGTAATGTGTTCTTCGATCTTCCTCTTCTCCTTCAGACTTGAGGATTCCAACTGAAGACTTGCCTTGTGATGCAGTTGGATTCTTTCTTCAATGTGTGCTCTATCTACTTCCAGCGCTTCTTTCTGATTTCTTCCTCCGCTCTGTTATTGTCCTTATTTGATTTGTGTTGGGGACGTTAGATCTCCAGAACTCATTTCAGAATGGACCTAATTTTGTAATTTTATTTAGAAAAATTTGAATTTCTTTGCTTAGCGCCAAAGGCGTTCTTGTCACTTTCATGTTGTATTTCCGACTTGGGTGAATCTTAAATGCTATTAGTTCGTTGTGTCTTTTAATATGCTATTTGGTAACTCTCCCCAAGGACGGTTTTGCACTGTATATATATACGTTTTGAATTATGTTTGTTGCTATCGCTTATTACTTCCCCATTCCAAACTTGGACTTTATCCCTCTAATTAGCGGGATTGGGACGTTTCGAATAGTTAGCTTACTGGTCTTTGGTCACCGAGTCTTGTTTCTCGTTCACAGATTAAATGAATTCGTGATAACTTCAAATCTAACAATTCCCTTAAATTCTATAACATAGAATACTCTATACACTTCATCATTACTTCGAATAACAGTTTTTTTTATTATTATAATCATCCATATTGTTTGTTTCACGCAATTGGAATATATTTCAGTGTGTGTGTGTGTGTATGTGTGTTTATTTCTCTCCGCCAATTCATATTCGATTTTTGTTTTGTTTTTATTCAGAAAAAGTAAACAACATGTAAATCATGAGTTCCATTTCCTGTTCACGTACATACACACACACACATACACACACTCACACAAGCACACACACACACTCTCACTTGTTATAGTTACTTGTTTTCCGTTTCATGTTAATTTTATTACCTCTACTTTGTAAGCAGAAAAAAAGAAGGAACAAACTTTTTGGTTTGTTTTACATCAAATTGATTGAAATGTTTATTTTCTAGTCACTTCTATTTCTCCCTCCCTCTCTCTCTCTCAGTTCTTATCGTTTTCTTTTTATTTTGTTTACTTATTTCTTTTTATTTTGTTTATTTTTCTTTTTATTATTTAAAGTGTTTCTTATTCTCTTTTGGCCATTCTATTATTTATGGGTGTGTGTGTGTGTGAATGTGAGTGCATGAGTGTGTGTGTGTGTGCATGCACGCTTTTCTTGGATTCAGTACTTGATTAGGTTTCGATATACATAGAAACAGAAATATTAAAAAAAATTAATCACGAAAAGAAAAAAAGCGAGAAAACTATTTCTTTTTGTTTAAGAAAAAAGAGAACGAAAAACCACTCAACTCATAATCATAGTTAAACGTTATTTTATAAGAAAAATTAGTATGGTTAACACACACACACACATGGAGATAGAGTGAG